TGGATCATGTTTATGTGGGCGTACTGCTTGACGCAGAAGGGATGATGTTGAAAATGAGGCCATCCCATGAACGTATAATTAGGCCATGTTGTCTGGACTTCATTCTGGGTGTGATTTATTAAACGCCCCTGTCGTCTTTCTGAATGTTCAGACTTCATTTACATGTATGTATTGTGAAGGACCGTCTATGAATCTCATGTTGTGCCATCTCAAGTATTTCCAATTAATTCTTCTCCAAACCTTTCTAACATTATCACCTCCGATATGTCCGTAAACATGTGGTATTTCTCACCTTTTCTGACCATCAAAGGACCTTGTTTACGACACTCAGATATCAAAAATGGATATTACCTGTTCCTTGGCGCCGTGAGAGCCACCACCAACCACACTTAATTGCCCACTGTAAATATAGCAATGATATTATCTCGATCACCCAAGGAAAGACCATGCTATTTAGCGGGAAAGTTATGCCGCGGAATTAAATTGTCGCGTCTCAGCAGGCAAGCAGGCGGGAAGTCACAGCTACCTACCCTTGGCCAAGAACCCCAACTATTCTGCCCATACAGCCCCAAAGCTTCAAGTTTTAGAGAACTTGGTAATTTTGCGTATATCATTCAAGCAATAAGGCGCAGCATTGGCAGCGCGGGGAGCCAGTTGCCGTTGTTTTCGCGACATTTCGATAATGAAATTTCTCGAATTTGACGCGCCCCAAGTGGCAATTGTTTCGCCCTACGATAGCATTCTTGACTTCAACGCCAGCAATGTCACAGGGGAGCATTAAATCATATTTTTATTTTGCCTGGCGATCATCTTCAGGGCACGTCTGGGAAATTTATGCAGCCTTCCTTTTTAACATCGGAATTGCTGTCCTGTTCGCTAAGACGCAGCTTGATGCAACCCCGACCGTCCCAGGGATTTGTGGAAGCTTTAAGTGGATTATCCATCGCCAGTTGAAGTTCCAAATGTCAGGGATATTGCGAGAGCCACCCGCGACAAATATTGTTGGTGTTGGGCCCCGCACGTTTCTCGGTTAGTCCTCCTCATACATCAATCAATCAAACACGCGCTGACTCCATAAACATTCCTGGTCTGGATATCACGTTCATGCACGCACGAAGCCTGTCTTAAAAAAAGACTCCTTGACTTTGGTATCCTGCCAAATGACTCCGTCTGTGCCATTACTCACAGCACAGCTATTTTGCTAAGCTATCAACCACACTTACCCACATTGTGCGAAGATCGCTTCATCTCAAAACCTTCAAGTTGATTTTTTTCCCCGTGACAATAAAGCTGTGCTGGTTCATGACCCTTGGCATGACCCTTGAGGGCGGTATAACAGCAGCCGGAAGTTCAAATGTACAGATAGCAGATTTAAAATATCTTAAAGTAGATATTTGTTTTAATATTTATTTGATGTTTGCAACTACGTGTATATACGGTCCTAAACAAGGGTCAAAATCATCTTCTCTTGCTGACTTTACGAGCCGGAAACTCGAACTTAACACCAGAATTTTGTATTCAATCACTTGATGACCAAACACCTGAGGTAAAATTGCGCCAACGTAATCCCTGTGTCAAGTGGATGACACAAAAGGTCATTTTTTGATTGTCATGTTTCATAAATCACCTTCAATTTGTTTTGGACGTACGATTTTGCACACATCGTAAATTGCTGGTGCGTGGCGAAGCGCAAAATGAGTAAAAAGTCACAATTTTTTGCACTCACATTTTCTAAGTTTCTTTTTAACAGACAGACGTTAAGAAAACCGCTTTCTTGGCAATGAAAAGAAACTAAATTCACACCTTGCTATTCAGCCATATCAGAAAAAACTTACGTCAATATGAAAGGGCTACCGAGTGTTCATCAGGCTCCGCATGTCGTCAAGCACATACAGTTGATCATAACGATTTGCCTTCTGAATCGAGAAATCCATATACATTCATATAAATAGAGAGACAAAAAAAAAGGAATACGCAATACGCAGTAAAAGTATTTAACGAAGGCAGATGGAAAACCAAGAGAGTCATTGATTCAACACTTTTCCCGGACCAAACATAAGCTGCTAGTCCCCAAATCTTCACAATATTTAAAGTCAGACCACTAGAAAACACTTTCGTTGTGAACACCGATTGGCTTGATATTTCTTTTCAGAAAGCATACGGAATTTTAAACGCACAAAAAAAGACTACATGATGGCATGGTGACAAGCTCAGTAATGGTCAATGCAACTACGTACAGGAGCCTATAGGCGGGTTATGATGTCTTTCCTACAGCAATGCAAACCCTCGATCATGTGCATGAAGTAATTAATTTACACGTCCAAAAATTAGATCAGTTCTTTAGCCTGATCTGTAAGGTTCCTATCCACACATCTAGTGGCCAGGGTTCGATTCCCCGCGCTATGTGTTTGGTTTTCGTTGCACTCGTTCAGTCAATTACTATAAAAGATTTAATTCTCAGGTTTGAAATACCAACGGTATAACTTAGCGTGATCAGTAAGCTCTACACTTGAGACTGGCCGTGAAGTCCAGGTTAGCATCTTCGTGAAGGTATACGGGGCTCATTCGGCTGATCTCGGCTGATCTCGGCAGCCAACTTAAATGCTTAGGGTACCGCCTCGTTTCCTCCCTTTTATGGTGCTTGGCCTTCGGGTTATATAGATGGACAGGGAAGGACGTGTGATTGGCCGGGAAACCAGAGATACCAGGCGAGTGTTACATGAAAGTTGGTAATGGGTTCATTGAGTTGAATTGCTTGAGTCCGGCTCCTGAATGCTTGGTCAACACCACGTGACGTTTTGTTTTCTCGCCATTTGAATCGTTTTCTGTTTAATTTGGTGATTAGTAATATGTTTGTTTTGAACTTAGCCGTTAAAATTTGAATAACGAGAAATATTGTCAAGAATTCATCACTGGCCATAAAACACTGTTTCTAAGCTAACTTTAGAATAATCTTTTAACGTCCAAATAACATTCAGATGAACGTAAAAATGTGATTTATCTCTGTATCGGGTTCTTCGTTATAATTTTTTTTTGCAAGTTATTTTCAATTCTTTCTTGCATATCTACACGATCCTCTACCGTTATGAACGGTCTCACCAAATCTCTTATCCATGCGGGCGAGGGACCTAAGAAAACAATAAGAAATTTGTTGATACAATTTTTCCCGGCTCCATAAACATGAACATTTCTTGGCGGGTAATTTATAGCAATCAGCATTGGACGTGTTGTCATTTCTTTGACGCGATCTTATCGGAGTCTTTCCATGCAAGTGGCTTCCGATTGTGTAAATGTCAATGGAATATTGAAAATATACAACTCGAAAAGCACTCAAATATATTTCTTTTAAAGAAATTCCCAAGCCTGCAGGATGCCGCCATATAGGTTGGACTAATTCCTTCACAATGAGAACGCACAATTGGGGATGGGGTCTTAGAGTAAAGCCGGAATCACTGCGGCAGTTTGTCATTGATATACCGAAGGAGACAGCAAGATTATTATTTTCAAAACGAGATTTTGTGTGAAATTTGCCGACAGAGGTTTTCGAAATGTTCAGCCTTTTTGTGTGTGTGCGTGTTTACCATCCAAGGTGATGGTTTTAATTTGGTTGATACAAGTTTTGAATCAAATGTAGATACATGCCATCCATGTGTGTGTGTGTGTTTTTTTAAAGCAAAACATGTGTAACATAATAATTTGTATTTGCAACATTGTTTGAGTGCATAATTGTAATGGTATCGCACATAAATACGCAGGGAAATCCACATTTTAAATGAAGTAACCCCACGCCTTTTCCCTTGTTTCCCCACCAGATTTGTGATCAAGCTACACAATCCGATCACAAGCAATTTCGTAAGTGCAATATATCTCGTCAAGTAACAAACAAATTCAAATGAATTGTGACACTTAAAAGCTTCCCCGTGTCGATGTTCGTTCCTTGTTATTCGCGACACGACTTGTGATTGACTCGATAACAAAACTTTAATTGAAGCTGCATGAAGGTCGGTGTGTTCACGGGTGTGTATATTTATGCATTGTCTGACACTGACAACCGGTTCATGATGTAACAATGATGACTATCATGCACAGATTAACGCTGGTTTGGAAACGTACACAAAACGCTGAGAAGTTTTGCTTATGAAGAAAGAGTGAACAATGGAAAGTCTTCCAAAACTCTTGTTACCAGTTTGTTACGGGTTAATACCCGTAACACTCAAGGACTTTCTGTGATAATAGCCGTAATGAGAGTACATTCAACCAATACTTGCTGCACGTTAGTCACTACATTGTAATTATGAAGCATCGTGTTTGGTAAAGGGTGTTGGGTCGGTCCCAATCCTACTCCGACCTCTTCCCAGTTGTCATCGTATGAATATCAAACGTAGGGCTATGCATTTCAAACCCAAGAGTCAACTTGTTTTGTTCTACCCGATGTGGATTTTTACTTTCCACTAGAGGTTTATTTTTTATAATTCAGGGAGACCGCAGGCTACATCCCATGTTTACCTTGTGCCTGATATGAACATTGCTTGTTATGCCACGTGACGCCGACTGTCGCAGGAGAAAGGAAACTGCTCCCCTAAACATCTTATTATAACAATGTACCGGTGCATATAAAATGTTGACGTTTGCGGTGTCAATTGTACTCTGAAAAAACATACTGCAGTTCACCTCCGGTCATGACGTCACAAATGGTATAATCTCTGCAGCTATTTGGAAAGAAATGAACAATAGTCATTTTCTTATGGTTTACAGAGCAAAAAGTCAAGATTTCTCAAGCTATCGATAATTCAACATACGAAGAGAAAGTACGAGTTCATTTTTTTTAATTCAAAAAGCTGGTAAGAGTCGATTGTCAGATTGTGTGGCTGTGACATTTTCGTAATGCACACGTATTGAGCAGTGATTAGGCACGCGTTTTGCATAAAATCAATTTGCATGTGAAATTTACCTCGGCTCGGCGCCACGACTGCGCAATGTGGTAAATGACAGAACTGATACAGTTGTAAGCGCAGCACTGACGGAGTGTGTTCTGTTGCAAAACCCACCGAATAATTTGACGCAGGCTGTTGGAGCAAAAACGACGGCCATGCTTGACACAGGCGAAGTTGGCTTCCACTTGTGACCAATCATGGGTGGGCAGGAACATACGTCATTGTCTTAGCTATACCTCAACTCCCATGGGTTTTGTTCGGCGGGATCTGTAACGCCTGATCTGCCTTGTGCGGCAGATGATGACATCACATTTGAGCCGTGTACCGCCACACGCACGCACGCAGTCAGCGAGTCAGTGCGGAGTTTTTATTCATCTCGTGTGTACATATCTTGTTCGCCTCGGAGAAGATTTCTGTCACGTTGTCAAAGGCGCTCCGAAAGGACCAACATGTCTTTAAGCCGGCCTGATTGCTTGTAGTGACCTACCTGTGAACTACTTAATCCTCTCTGCTCATCGCTACACCGGGTAGGTCTCTGACATGTATTTTTTTTTTTGGAAATTGCATGTACTGGTTTAATGACATGCGTAGGTTAATCTATCTCAATTCTTCTGATGCGGAATGGTAATGAATATATTCGCGAGTATAGAAGCTTGTTTACTCTATGCACAATGAATTGCTGCTATTTCTTATTTTTAACGCCGTTATCGTGCAGTTGTTACAATCACAACATGAATTTTGGAGAAAAGACGTAAGTGATGGTTGGAATCGGGGTAGCCAGGGTTTGGTTTAGAGGAGGGGAAAGGCCAAAGGAAAGAAATATTGTGTTTATCCTGGTTGTCATGATGTTCTTTTTGACGATACGTGATTGTATTTTTTGCGACGATACTGCGTGTAGGAGTTGACCGTCAAGATAAAGTTGTGTTTCTAGTGAAGTAGCAGAGTGTCGCAACTTGAAAACAGAAACCAAACTTTGAAATGGTTGTTCTGTTAATTTAAACCAAGTAAAAGTTACATTCTCGTAAAGTAACAACCCCGAACTGATGATATTAAGGTTATAGGTTTATGTTCTTTCACAAATTGATCCGTACTATCCAAACTGTGGTTTCTCAATTTCAGTAACTTTCTTGAAAGTCAGTCGTCAAGGTACTTGTTAAATCTAATCATAGCGCCATGATAAGATTCGTACATGCGTAGAATATAGAAGAAAAAAAATAATAGCATGATTACGGGCATTTTTTTTTTAAGTTTCGGCTGAGTCTCCAGCTTTTCATTGATGAAAGTAAAGTCTGTCGCGAGCCAATGTGGCTCATCAGGCCGGCGTTTATCTCCGGTTTCAGTAGCATGAAACGACTGAGAATATTTCTAGTCCCCCCTGGATGGGATGCTAGTCCATCGCAGGTTACTCCCCAGCTAATGCCGGTACCCATTTATACTCCTGGGTGGAGAGGGGCAAGTGGGGGTGAAGTGGCTTGCCCAAGGACACAACATATGACCAGCAGCTGGATTCGAACCTCGGACCCTCTGCCGGACCCTCTGATCATGAGTCACGAACCCTAACCACTAGGCCACACACTCCCGTAAATTGATCTCCAGGAACAGCATCATATTGTGCAAATAAAATGCAAGGGCTGGGTGATGTTTTTAAGCAGAAAATTGACCTATACTGAACCGCAATGTGCGATGTGCGATCAAAATCGCGAAGATGGAGCTTGCTGCCGAAGTCGAAGACTGAGCCGAAGCTTGGTAAAAACCCTCGATTCGACAAATCCAAACCCAAAACGAGTCCTTGAAAACAAAGAGAACAAAGCTGAAAGTGGGAAGAGTTGTGTCATCTGAAACATCTGTGTTATCGATGTTGAACGCTGTTACAACTAGCAATTTGGTAATCGACATTCAGAAACAATTTGGTGTCATCCAAAAAAAAAAAGAGAGAAAGAAAGTCACGGTTAATTAACCCGGCTCTTTAGCATTGTTGCGAGTCGTTAGTGATGCGTAAATTCAAGCGCTCATGGCGACGTGACCGATCAATGGCCACAGATCACATACAGTTATTTGGGCAGCGCGATCAAATAGACAATAACACACAAGCCTCATAAACATGCATTTGTGGAAGTGGGACACTCTGCAGACACACGACAACCTTAATGTACCAGAAACCAGTTGTATGATTGGGTGTTTGCGCGTTAAATGCGTCTCCATGTACCAAGTAAACTAGATTGTTGATACAGGGTGATAAAAGTCGCAGTTTTACTAGCATCGAGATAGTAGCCAAGGTCTTATCACGCCTGGCAACTAACTGCAAATCAGATAACTCATTCAACCTCTCCCCAAGAAAGATATCAACAATCTCATAACCCTCATTGTCATATTTAATTTAATTTCTCCACCAATTGAATAGACACAGAAGATGATCAAACACCTTTCACCACTCCACAATCGCATTGTTTAGCTGATCATACTTTTTCCGTATTGTTCCCACATTGGCTGGTTTAAAGTATCATTCAGCTTAAACTTTAATTTAACTGAAACCTTGTTTACCTACCGTAGCCTTTTTTCCGTTTAGCGTCATCGCTTTTATTAGTTCATTCACCTGTGTTTGGTACTAGTGTCCCATATGTATTATTCCGCATGTCGTATATCTAATAAACATGTGTTCCTAGGTCTATACCGTTATGCTACATGGTGTTAATCTGACACCGCATTGATTGTAGTGTTGTTCCACAAATACAGGTGAATTATCAATTTTCGAATGAGATATTTGCCTTTTTTCAGCTGGTTTGCTGAAAATGATATCCCGTGGGTCCTGGCAGAACATTGCAAAATATAGGTATGAGCAGACGGGTATGAGCACAGCCTATTTAAAAAAAACCTGTAACCAGAGAATGTAGGCAACTCTACGTACGCTTGTGTAATAATAATAATATATTCACACAAGGGATATGTGAGAGCTGTCAGTCATTTGATTTGTCAAAGTCAGTGCCATTCCAAAAGGTCGGTAGTCTAATTTTTGAAATGTCAATTGTCACTGTCGTTCTGCCTGTCTACGAGTCTATAAGAAGAGCTCGTTAAACCAACAATCTCAAACTCCGAGACATTTCGGTAAGAGTCGAGCATCTCCCTTAGATGGATGGAGTTAGACTATTTCGTCAATTAAAACAAAACCTGGTCTGCAACTTGATTACTCGACCTCACATTATGTCCTGCTGGCAATATGGAGAGTGTGAAAATCCAGCTTAGTGCCGGAGCGCTAGCGATGGCCCTATACGCTCGCGTAACTGATTATGATGAGAGATGGTTGCTGAGCCTTGTCGAACATCGTGACTTAGTGAAAATCAGTCTTTCATATGCCTCCCCCCTTTGCCTGCCCCTCTACCCCGGACCCACTAATCCGGAACATCATTCGGATGACCTGAGTGTCCCGTAATGAATCGTATATTCCGAGGGTCGGTCTACCGTGTTAATCGCCTGTTTGCCTGAGTGAGTGAGTGAATGAATCAGGTCTATCGTTAGTTTCACCTATAGCCTGTCCTGTCACTCAGCTTTGATTTGGTGGTGTCTTCAACGACACAATTTTGTATTTTAATATACATGTATTTCTCTTTTTGGGGGGCTGGCAACATCGATTCTGTCAAATTAATGTCAGATACTTAAAATGATTTAACCACAAAATTATATTGGAGTGGCCTCGTTTATTTTATTAAGATTTTAAATCGACTATATAGTAACGTTATCCTACCTTTAATTTACGTTATCCTACCTTTGAGTTACGTTATCCTACCTTTGAGTTACGTTATCATACTTTTGAGTTACGTTATCATACTTTTGAGTTACGTTATCCTTTACCTTTGATTTACGTTATCCTACCTTTGAGTTACGTTATCATACTTTTGAGTTACGTTATCCTTTACCTTTGGGTTACGTTATCCTACCTTTGAGTTACAGTATCCTACCTTTGGGTTACGTTATTCTACCTTTGCGTTATGTTATCCTACCTTTGAGTTACGTTATCATACCTTTGGGTTACGTTTTTCTACCTTCCGGTTGCGTTAACCTACCTTTGAGTTACGTTATCCTATCTTTGGGTTGCGTTAACCTACCTTTGCGTTATGTTATCCTACCTTTGCGTTACGTTATCCTACCTTTGACTTACGTTATCCTACCTTTGGTTACGTTATTCTACCTGTGGGTTAGGGTATCCTACCTTTGTTTACCATGGTTAACTCGTTATTTTCGTGCTGGTGTTACCTCCAATCACTGCTTTTCGTGATCGTAGAAAAGTGTTACATGACTTCGTTTTTATTTATTCAGTTTTATCTGGTACTGCAAACATGCATGACGATGTTGTCATTTTAATCAAAATGTTAAAACCGTCCGTTGAAGAAAGGATAACTGCGAACATGGTTGCACGAAACAAACAGGGACTCTTTCTTTATAAACACCTGCATTAAAGTCACGTAAGAATTTCGACCTACAGCATGAGCCCTATACGCACATCATGCAATAGCGTTCAGTTCACACAGCAAAAGGATAAGGTCACACAAGTGGAATATATAATTGGCACTCACATAAATACATTTCTCAGTGATTGTGTTATGCTTGCTATAAATGTCACCCGGGAGACTTTGTAACTGGCCGACTGAGTGCAAGGATAGCACCTCTAGTGGCAACTGACCTCTACTTTCTGACGAAGCACAAACAAATAATTTTTTTCGGTAGCAGGTGTTAAATGGCAATATTTGGTCGCCAGAGACGCAATATTTGATTCATTTGATTTTCCCCTGCAGTCCGCGGACAATTATTGTTATTTTTGTCCGTCTGTGTAAGCGGACAATTATTGTTATTTTTGTCCGTCTGTGTAAGAAGTATCGTTCAGACAAAGATGATCATAAACAGGAAAGTTAACTCATAGTTGATATCGTTGAGGTTCCTTAATTGCTAAGATATTGCTAGCATATTGTTAAGGGGGGTAATCAATCAGGTAATTTTTCATAAAAAAGACTCTTTCTACCGTTCGTAAAAATGTTGAAAAGTGGGGAAAGTATTGCGAATAGAAGCGGGCAAGAGGTGCTGGCTCTTACATTTCCTGGTAAAAAAAATAAATCAGTTTACAAATTAAATTGTCAAAATGCCGCCAATGGAGAGGGTGAGTTGCCCATCTTACCCCCACCCCCTGCTGGACACGCTACTGCGGAGGGTTTTTACAAGTGCATACCCTTCGTGACAAACTTTGTTTTCACGTTCCAAAAAAATTATGTATATATATTTATATATATTTCCCGTTTTCATCGAGATAGTTTGCCTCTTTATATGTCTCTGTAGGTTGTCGTTTCATTTTAATTCAGAAAAGTCACCTCAGAGTCTGCACGCGCCGATTCGGCAAACGCTACTGGGAGGTTTTGCCTTCAGACGGACCTAAATTACCGCGGATCACTGCACGTCGACCGGGTGCTTGGCCTATTATCCCGTGAGTGGGTCCGTGCCGGAATGCCGCGTGTTTATTTGGATCTGTCCTCCCGATTTCAAC